GCAGGAGGACACAGAAGCAAGGCGTACAGAAAATTCCCCCACCCCGTACAGACAAAACAATGTAATTGACCAGTGGGGTCCCCTCACCCTAATGTTTGGCTATATCAGCAATCCCATACATGCATCACAGTTAATCACATCTATATGGAACCCCCAAAACACTTAGCTGGGCATTCCTCAGCCTCTGATCCCCAAAGTCCCATGCCTCACATGCCCGTGGAGGCTGGTCACATGCTTCCACGGGCAGCATGTTGGGCATCAGGGGGCTGGACCTTTTCTCAGGCTTTTATCGCTTTGTCCCTGCTAGGGAGATTCACCTCCACTAGTTGTTCTTGGGACCAATGTCACCAGGTCTGAAATACAACATTTTTTAGTAGCCACCGGCACAGTAGGTGAGGGGAATTCTTCTTCTAAGGCTCACCACACATGTTACAATCTAAACATGCTCCTTTAGTTGTACGTTCTCATAGTACATAGATTTGATACATTTAAAGTTGATTGTACAAAGTTTGTACAGTCAGGTTGTAATGTGTATTGTGACCTTAAGAGGGGATTTTCCCTCAGTTTGTAGAGATTTGCTCCCACTTCCTGTTGTGATTCTGGAATGTGAAAGGAAAACTCTTTCATGGGACATGAGCAGCAAAAAAGAAAACCTGACAGGAGTTCCTACCATTCCTGACTCTATCGGAAACTGAAAAAAAGTTCAGGCGTTAGACATACTTTAAGCGTTAGGTCACCAAGTTTGCTCTATACTGTAACTCATAGAAGTAACTGTTTCTGATACCAGACCAATTAAATATGAACTCTGAGCATACTCCATGATCTACTTGCATATTATATTTTTAATGTGATACTACATACTAATAATTGTCAGTCTTATGTCCTGGAGGGAATCTGGGCTTATTTAACTAAGGACTTTAAGAATAACCGCACTTTGTTTTAAAGTGAACTTATCTTTTAAGCACATCCACTTGAAAGTCAAGCAGTTTCAAGGCCAGCCAGGAGAAATAAAACCTCTAGCATGTGCTGGATCTACATTGGATTTTTCCCAGGGCAATGCTCCTAGAAAGTCTTTAACTGAAACTCCAATGGGACAGAGCATCAATATAAAATACCCCAAGCAAAAGCATACAGAATATTCAGACAGTGTTGTCTATCTGAGCACACTGGGGGCATATAAGGATCTTCAAACAAATGTAGTCCACAATAAGTTACAGAAAAGGGGAAAATATGGAATATGTAATTTCGGACCCACTAAGTTCAATACTTTCCAAGTAATCAAACCAGAAAAATACACAGAAAAGGAAAATCAGAATAACGTCAGAGCTACTTGTCCATGGCCAGTGGCTCAAATGATTGAACTAAAAGGATTACTATTAAATCTAGGGAAGCAACATTTTAGGAAGGAGAGCTCAGCAATAATAGCCTCAATACAATTTCAATAATGCAAAAGCACCCTGCCTTTTAAGTTCATTTTATTTAAATGACTCTGTACCGAGAAAAAATATTTCTTGATGTGTGTATTAACTAAATGCATTTTTCTGCTCAGCCAGTAATTACCTAGCTAATAATGCCGCATGTTCAGACAGGCAGAACAAACATTTATATTCCGTGGATGATGTTGATGTCACCTATGCCATTTTTATCTTGGCAGAACAATAACTGTTGGCCAACAAAATATGACCCAGAATGACAGCCTGGAAGTAGCTGTTGAGGTCACAAGGTGCCTCCTTATTACCAAGATCCTGTTTAAACAAAATCGTGTGACATTCAATTAATCTTTTTAGCTACTTTTAATGAAGAACTGTAAGTAAATGTCAGCACTTTCCAACACGACAGCAGTAGCATTGGTATCTTCATTGTCACACATATTTTAAATTACATGACTGGCAAAATTCTGTCTTAGGTGACCAAGTGATTTATATCTTTTTAGGATTCACAAATCACAAACTATAGATAACTTAAAGTGATATTAATGCCAAACGGTTTTTAAGCTATTTCAAATGCTGGTGATATCAGTTACAATGGATGCTGCTCCTTGATGTTTAAAAGTTTCAGCTTCCTGCAGAATCAACTGGTCCCCTGAACACTAACCCTGATATCCTGTTTTAGGGTGGCTCCTTCCCCTTGCAGGGTATTATGGAACCACCCTTGTGTGTGCTAGTAAGCTGTCCACAAACACAGGTACAGCAAGGCAGACCACTCCCCTGATCCGCCCTCTCCTCCTCCCTTCTCCAAGCTAGTAGATGCACAGCTGCTGGAGACTGTGCTCTCCCTTGTGATCTTACACTGGACAGGAAGTTCATGGAAGCCGAGCTGAGAGAGTTGGAGCTGTTTGGAAATTTTTTGAATGTAAGTGGTTGGGCAAAATGTAAAGAAATACTTTGCTGGGCAGTGTATCTTTGTTTGATCTGGATTCATTATTGAAAAATGTTTAGCGTTTAAACCTACGTTTACTCAAAAGTAAAGAGGAAGTGCCCAGTAGTTTTGTGTCTGTCTGCACACTGTAAAAAAGATTCATCACCCATAGATCCAGGTATCAAACAAAAGAAACAGAAGCCAGTTGGTGCACTACAAGGACTGTAACTGCTCTAAAGCGCAATAGATTTACCTGGCTGCCCTCTGTCTCAAGTATCTATTTTGGAGGTTGCTCTTAGAGGACCTGATGTTGCTGCTGTTATTATTACTGTAGATGTTGTCCTCTATTTTTGTGTTTTCAGGTATCCTGCAACCCTAGACCCTCTCTCCTGAGTTTTCTACCATTGAGCAATAAATTATAAATCCATACTAATCGAGCCTGTTCATTAGAGATGTTGTTGGTGTTGCTGGAGCTGGAAACTGGGCCAGTAACTGCAAAATAGGTAGGAGAGCTCGTCTTTAACTTCCTCTCAGGATGCATCTTGTCAGCACATGAACTGAGAGGTTTCTTGTTCTGTTTCTTCTTCTTACACTTCAGCCCTGCTGTACAGAGGCTGATACCAAGTAAAACCCTTACACATTCTCACTTCTACTGCTTTAATTTTAAAAATACATTTAATGATGTGTTCATAATTACATCGCTACATTAATTTGTGTCTTTTATAACTGCCTAGAGTTCAGCTTTATTTTACTTGCTTCTCAATTGCTTTTTTTAAATTTCTGTTATTGA